CTTGATAAAAACCCTCAGCAAAATGGGAATGGAGGGATCATACCTCAACATAATAAAAGCCTTATGTGACAAACCTACAACCAACATCATACTCAATGGGCAAAAACTAAAACCATTTCCCCTAAGAACAGGAATGAGACAGGAATGCCCACTGTCACCACTTCTGTCACCATAGTACTGGAAGTGCTAGCCATAGCAATTAGACAAGAAGAAGAAATAAAAGGCATCCAAATTGGAAAAGAAGATGTAAAACTGTCCTTATTCACAGATGACATGATTCTATACATAGAAAACCCTAAAGATTCCATCAAAAAAGTATTAGACTTAATAAATGAATTCAGCAATGTAGTAGGATACAAAATTAATGCCAAGAAATCTATGGAATTTTTATACACCAATAGTGAACTTACAGAAAGAGAGATTAAAAAAACAATCCCATTTACCATCACACCAAAAAAAGTAAGATACCTAGGAATAAACTTAACTAAGGAGGTAAAAGACCTGTACTCGGAAAACTACAGGACACTAAAAAAAGAGATAGAGGAAGATATAAACAGATGGAAGAACATACCATGATCATGGATTGGTAGAATCAACATCATTAAAATGTCCATACTACCCAAAGCAATCTATAGATTCAATGCACTTCCCATTAATATACCAATGGCATATTCACAGACCTAGAACAAACTCTCCAAAAATTCATCTGGAATAAAAAAAGACCCTGAATAGCTGTAGCAATCCTGAGAAAGAAGAACAAAGTAGGAGGGATCTCAGTACCAGAGATCAAGCTGTATTACAAAGCCACTGTTCTCAAAACTGCCTGGTACTGGCACAAGAACAGACATATAGACCAATGGAATAGAATAGAGAACTCAGAAATCGGCCCAAACCACTATGCTCAAGTAATATTTGACAAAGGAGGCAAGAGCATACAATGGAGTCAAGACAGTCTCTTCAATAAATGGTGTTGGGAAAATTGGACAGATACATGCAAAAAAATGAAAATAAAACTTATCTTTAAAAATACCTTTCACTGATCCATTTCTCCCGCTAACTCTATACTCTATTTCTCTGTTCCACATCATAGAATTCTTCTAAAAAGTTGCCTGTACTGGTTATCTTCACTTTCACACCTCCCATTGTCTCCTTAAGCTACTCACATGCCTTTAATCCCTCACTGTGCTACTGAAATGGTTCTTACCAAGTTTACTCTTGATCTCTGTCTTTTCAAATCCAAGCATTAACTCATTAACCTCTGTGTTTTGATCCGACAGTAGCATTTGACCTAGTGAACCACTCTTGTTTATATAATGTACATGTGTATTTGCCTTCTAATTAAAAGAATGAAAAGCATCAAATCATTTGAAGAGCACCTTTCTCTCCCCCTCACCCCCCAATTCCTTCCTCTGCTCCCAGATGTAGTCACTATACTGATTGGTATTTCTTGTTCCCACACTTGTTTTGTACTTTCGCTACATGTGTTTTCCTATATAATATGTAGTGGTTTTTTTGGTTTTTTTTGTAGTGGTTTTTTTTAAAAAATGTTTTTAACCTCCATATTAAAAAGATTATTCTTAAGTATCTTTTTCTCTAACTTACTCTTTTTATTCAACATTTTGTTAGGAGAATCATTCAAGTTGCCAATCATTCAAGTATTCCATTGTCTGAGTAGACTACAATTTACCCATTATGTTGTAGACAGACACTTAGTTTGTTTTCACTGTTCAGTTGTTACAAACAGTCCTTCTAGGAACATTGTTATAAAAATCTCCTTAGATGTGGTTTCCGTTTGATAATGCCTGGAAGTAGAGTTCTTGGGTTATAATGTATTTAACTACACTCTTCTTTTGAATCAACTTGTTCTAGGCTTGCATAATACCACACTTGTTTGATTTTCATCTTACCTCATAGGCCAAGCAGTCTCCTCTCATTTTCTGGATCCTCATTCGCTACTGCATTCTATATGTTAGTGTCCTGGGGATTTGTCTTTGGCTCTCTTCTCTATATTCCCAGCTTCTGGCTTCGATTCACTCTAATTTATCCCCATGCGGATCCCAGGATAATCTTCATCAAATGCAACCCAGTCATGCCACGACTTTGCTTAAAGTTCTTCAGTGGTCCCCTGCTGCCTCTAAAGTCCAAGTTCTGTGTCATGACCAGAACCACTAAGGATTAGCCCCCAGCCCCTGCCCCTCACCCCCATTCCTTGTATCTCAGCTCCTACCTTTTCTCTAAAGGATCTTGAAGACCATCTCTCCAGCAGGAGGGGCCTTTGCTCAGACCATTTCCTTTGTTCGCAGTTTTCTTCCTCCTCACTCCTTAGCTGCCTGGTAAACTTTTGTTCCTTTTAAAAGATGACTTACATGTTGCTTTTTCAAGGAGGTCATACCTGACACCTTCAGGAGGAGGTAAGAAATTCCTTCTCTGTGTTATTCCTTCTTTGTTATCTCCATTATACTTCTTGACTCATTGGTCCAGGAAATATTTACTTGTTGCCTACTATATGCTAGAAACTGTTGTAGTCATTGGGCTAGAACAGTAAACGAGACAGACAGGGTTCTTATTTTCCATGGAGTCTACATTCCAGAGAGTAGAAAAGAGAGAAAACAAGTAAATAATACTATTTTAGACACATAATGTGGCAATGTGATGGAGAGTATGTATGGGGGCGGGGGTGGGGGGGAGTAGGTGGGGATGGGCATTAACTTCAGATTGAGTGAGTTGCTGCTTGATTTGAGACCTGAGAGATGAGAAGGAGCCAGCCATGCTGCTGAAAGAAGATCATTCTAGGCAGAAGGAACAGCAAGTACAAAAGCTCTGGAGCTAGAATGAATTTGGTCTCTTTAAGGAAGAGAAGGAAGGCCAGTGAGGCCGGAGTATAATGAGCTGGGGGAAGGGGTGCTGTATGAAATAAAATCTGAGAAGCGGGCAGGGTCTGATCATGTGGGCCCTTATGGGTAAGATGTGTCGATTTTAAGTGTAGTGGGAAACCATTGGAAGATTCTACGTGAGAGAGTGGCATGATCTCATTTATGTCTGGAATTACCACTCTAGCTGGTATGAGGAGAATTAGGAGGACAGAGTGAGAGCAGAAACCAGGAAGGAGTTCTTGCTGCAGGTAGAAAATGTTGGTAGCTTGGATGACTGTGGTATTTGTAGTGCCCATGGAAAGAAGTGGCATGACTTAGGATATATTTTGAAGGTAGGCAGATAGGGCTGGCTGGTGGATTAGATGTGTTGGTTTTAAGGAGGGAGGGAATCAAGAAAAGGATCCCTGGTCTTTCTTGAGTGCCATTTACTGACATGTGGATGACTTAGTTGTGGTGGCAGTGATGAGAGAGTTCTGTGAGGGAGGAACCAGGAGTTATTTTTTAGATATTTTAAGTTGGACATGCCTTTTAAGACTGCAAAGTGTCAATGGCAGGAAGTCATTTGGATAGGTGGCTCTGAAGGTCAAGGATTGCCTTAGTTTGTTGGGGCTGCTATAACAAATTACCAGAGACCGGGTGGCTTAAACAGTGAATGTTTATTTCTCGAAGTTGTGGAGGCTGGAAGTCTGAGATCAGGGTGCAGCACAGTTGGGTTCTGGTGAGGACCCTCTTCCAGATTGCAGATGGCCGGCTTATATTCTCACATGGGAGGTGGAGGGTGAGGTGTACTTCATAAAGGGGCACTAATTAGGCTCCACCCTGAAGACCCAGTCACCTCCTAATACAATCACATTGAGATTAGATTTCAATACTGTATGTTTGGCGGAGCACAGACATTGAGTTTATAACAGGGATGGAGATAGATAGTTTTGGGAGTCAGCAACTTAGTCATTATATTTTAAGGCTATGAGACTAGGTAAAGTAACTGAGAGTTTGAGTGTAGATAGAGAACTGAGGGTAGGGCTTTGGACACCATAGCATTTAGAGAATGAGAGGTAGGGGTGTGAGAGGGAATCATAGAAGACAATAGAAGGAGAGAGCGTCAATTGTATCATGCTGCTTAGGTCACGGCAACCATGGTGCGTGGTCAGAAGGTAGAACTTAGCACATCACTATGTATCTGTCATCTCCTCTAGAGTGTGTGCTAACTCTAATTCCTTTAAAGCTTAGCATATAATAGATGGTAAATAAACGCCTACAAGTTTAATTTTTACAAAGTAGTTTAAAGAATAATATACTTTCCCCTCCTCATTTAGGATGCTTTTAGATCACTGACCCTTCCCACCAATTTGCAGCAGTTCCAAGGAGTATAGTCATGTGAATAATCATGTGACTAATAACTTAAAGGAAACACAATGAGAGAAGCAAATCCATTTTAATAGAGGTTCACAGTGCATCTGTAGCCATCATGCTGTGGTGGACCAGGGCCTTGTTTTGGACTCGGAAAGCCTGCCTCGAGCTCTGCTGTACTGTGTGACCCTATTGAATGTTGGGTGTTGGTGGCAGGTCCCCACACTCTGGATCATGGCTCTTCAGCTGTCCTGTGTGGATAATATTAACAAGTTCCTTTCACAGGATTTTTGTGAGCAGCAAATGATCTACTGCACAAAGTTAAAAGCTACTCTGTAAGAGCTATGTCTGTAAAAATAATTGGATTATCCATTTTGTCACAGACTTATAAAGTAGATTAGATCAGAGTATTATGAAATTTATATTCGGGCAGTGGCATAGGAAAGGCAACACGTTTGGGAAGGACACAGATCGCTGTAAAATGTAATTCTTTTCTAAAATATATAGGAAATTAATTTCTTTTGGCTTTGTTTCCTTATCATTCCCAGATAAATGTAATCATCCTGTTAGAACCAAAGAATAGACATTTACTTTAAGATCAAGTAATCAAATCTAGTAGTGGTCTATTTGCCCTAGTGTGGCATTTCTGAAAGAATAAAATGTAGTTAGTATTGTTTGTAGGTTTTTTTCTTTTTTCTGTTTTTTTTTTAAGTGAATATATTAATTCCATTTGACAAATTTTCACCATGGTGATTACCCATTTCATTTTACTTCTAGGGTAAAAATCATGGTAAGAAACTCAGAAATTACTATGCAGCAAACAGCTGTCCTCCTCCTGCCAGAATGAGCAATGTGGTAGAACCTGTGGCCACGCCAGCTGTTCCAGTCCCTCCACAGGTGAGACATGTGGCAGGGTGGAAGCTGTCCTATGCACAAATGGCCATGGATGAAATTTGTCATCCATGTGCCCATCAAGGTACAATTGGGCAAATAACCCTGAAAGGTCCCATTGGATGCTTTTGACTCCTTGAACTCCAGGGCTGGATTTAATGCATGCCCAAATCCACGACCTTGAGATTTCTCATGCTTTGGTTGTGATGTATGAAATGATGAAATGAATATTGTTTCATGAGTCTTTCTCTATGCATTTCTCAAAATCCGGGCTTAAATGACCCTGAGTCTAGGCCAGTGATGGCGAACCTTTTGAGCTTGGCATGTCAGCATTTTGAAAACCCTAACTTAACTCTGGTGCCGTGTCACATATAGAAATTTTTTGATATTTGCAACCATAGTAAAACAAAGACTTATATTTTTGATATTTATTTTATATATTTAAATGCCATTTAACAAAGAAAAATCAACCAAAAAAATGAGTTCACGTGTCACCTCTTACATGTGTGTCATAGGTTTGCCATCACTGGTCTAGGCTAAGCTAGAATAAAAACCAACAAACCCTGAATAGAACAAAAGATTTTTAAACGTTTATATCTTTACTAGAGACCCGGTGCACGAAATTCATTTATGGGGGGATGTGTCCCTCAGCCCAGCCTGCACCCTCTCCAATTCGGGACTGCTGGCTCCCAACCACTCGCCTGCCTGCTTGATTGCCCCTAACTGCTTCTGCCTGCCAGCTTGATCACCCCCTAACCACTCCCCTGCCAGCCTGATCGACGTCTAACTGCTCCCCTGCCGGCCCAATTGCCCCCAACAGCCCTCCCCTGCCGGCTCGATTGCCCCTAACTTCCCTCCCCTGCAGGCCTGGTCACCGCCAACTGCCCTCCCCTGCTGGCCTGGTCACCCCCAACTGCTCTTCCCTGCAGGTCTGGTCACCCCTAACTGCCCTCCCCTGCAGGCCTGGTTGCCCCTATCTGCCCTTCCCTACCAGCCTGGTTGCCCCTAACTGCTCTCCCCTGCTGGCCTGGTCGCCTCCAACTGCCCTCCCCTGCAGGCCTGGTTCCCCCCAACTGCCCTCCCCTGCAGGCCTGGTCGCTCCCAACTGCCCTCCCCTGCAGGCCTGGTTCCTTCCAACTGCCCTCCCCTGCAGCCCTCGTTGCCCCCAACTGCTCTTTTCTGCCAGCCCGGTCACCCCTAACAGCCCTCCCCTGCAGGCCTGATCGCCCCCAACTGCCCTCCTCTGCTCTCCTGAACGCCCACAACTGCCCTCCCCTGCCTGCCATCTTGTGTGTTGGAGTGATGGTCAATTTGCATATTACCTCTTTATTATATAGGATTGCAGTTAATCCCATTTAATTTATATTGTGCCTTCTATTAAGATCAATTTCTTGAGATTGCGTGCCCTCCTCCTTCTTCTTCTTCTTCTTTTTTTAAACTTCTGTAGAAACACTTTCTGGTTGAAAGCAGAGTTTTGTTTACTCTTTGAATGATAGAGCAGGTGTTTCAAGCAAGGTATTCCTGTACTTTAACAGCCTCTGACATATGGATTCTATTCCTTAATCTGTTTTGAAGTATTATTTGTCTTTAGAACAATACAATGATCATAAATAATAAGTCTAATTGAGTACTTTACTATGCCAGGTACTCTGCTAAGCACTTTTCATGCATTGTTTCATTCAGGGCTGGGACTAGGATGGGGAGAGGGATGCATTACATTTCAGCATAAAGTTTAAGAGGGAGACTAAAATCTCAGTAGTCAAGATAACTATTTATTTTTTTGCCGCTATTAATCCTCACCCAAGGATATTTTTTCCATTAATTTTTAGGAAGAGTGGAAGGGAGAGAAGGAGGGTGGTAGAAGGTGGGGAGAGAGAGAGAAAAAGAGAGAGAGAGAGGGGGAGAGAGAGAGAGAGAGAGAGAGAGAGAAAGAAACATTTATGCGAGAGAGACACATCGATTGGTTGCCTCTTAACACACCTCAACCGGGGCTGAATATTGAACCTGCAGCCCAGATAGATGCCCTTGACCAGCAATTGAACCTGTGACCCTTTAGTGCATGAGCCAATGCTCTAACCCAGGGGTCCTCAAACTACGGCCCGCGGGCCACATGCGGCCCGCCGAAAACATTTATCCGGCCCGCCGGGTGTTTTTGCCGCCGCTGTGTGCATAGGAATTTGCTCATAATTTTTTTTTTAAAGTATAGTCCGGCCCTCCAATGGTCTGAGGGACAGTGAACTGGCCCCCTGTTTAAAAAGTTTGAGGACCCCTGCTCTAACCACTTAACACCACCGGCCAGGGCCTAGATAACTATTTTCAAAATTCAAAATTAATGTAAAAAATTCAATGGTGAACGAAAGGTTAATAAACATAGGATAAATATTACTGATTTTCCTTTTGCCTCAGGCTGCTCTATGGCTTGGCATGGCAGTTACTGATCCTGTTGTTATTTAATATTTTGATATTTTGTTCCTCATTGATTTTTTGCATTTATAAAAATATTCCATTAAAATATTTATTTTTGATTGTTGGGTTGGTTTTTTTTGATGCTCTCTTAAAGTTTGTGCCCATGGCAAGTGCCTGCTTGCCTCATTCTTGTCCTGGGCCCTGACCTCATGGAATGCTTGCAGTAACTTAGCTGTATTGGCCTTATTACTCTGAGAGTAATCCATGGGCCAGCAACCTCGGTCTTACCTGGAAGCTTATTAGAAGCACAGGTAAGCTAAGTAACTTGTCCAGGGTGTTACATGTGGTGGGGCAAGAAGTTTTTTGATCTTAGACCTCTACTCATCACGGTATAATTTTACTTTTCTGAATGTCAGCTGTCCGGTACTTAATGTATGGATAGCAATACCAGCTATTCCTCCATCCTCAAGAATTTGTGGGGGTAAATGAGATGTCTTAAACACAGAATCAGAGGACAGGAAAGTTCCCAGAATGATCTTCTGGTGGTGTCGTTGTCACAGTACTAAGTCCTGAAGGCTGCTCTAGAACTGGATGGCTGCTCTCTGCTGGGACTGTTTTCAGCCAGCTCCACTCTTTTGGGCAAACAGCCGGCCGTAGCTTTCTTTCAGAGCACAGCCCTTTGTGGTATTTGAAGACAGCTCTCCTCTGTCCAGAAAGTCTTCCCTTCCAGGTGAAACAGTGCTATTTCTTTCAGCTGGTCCTGATGTGATATGCTTTCCAGACTCTTATATATTTTGTTCTCCTCCAGACAGAATCTAGTTTGTTGTTTTTTATTAGCCCAATAACTTTTATTGAGTGCATACTACCTTTCAGGCACTATATTAGATTTCCCTTAACTCATTGTTTTCCAATCTGAATACAGATGGCTGGGTCTGCTGATTATCTTCCCCTAATTATATTGTATCTGTAGCTAATTTGTAGACTCTTTGAGCAGGGGCTCATTTAAAACAAAAATATATATATATATACACACACACACACATACAGTGGGGCCTTGACTTACGAGTTTAATTCGTTCCATGACGGAGCTCGTAACTTAAATTACTTGTATGTCAAATCATAAAGTGAACGAGTGAGATACGTGATGCTGGGCTGATGTTGTGGCGTTCACTGTGACGTTCGCTGCGCCAACTAGCTGTGGGGTATCTGAAGCTGGCTCGTAACCCGAATTTTAGCTCGCAACTCAAAGCAAAAAATTGGCCGAGAGATGGCTCGTATCTCGAAAAACTTGTTAGTCGGGACACTCGTAAGTCAAGGCCCCACTGTATGTATGTGTGTGTGTGTGTGTGTGTGTGTGTATATATATATATATCTGTATATAACTTCTGCATTAGGTAGCAAGCCCTATTAACTGTAGGTGATCAGTAAATGCTTATGGATGGATTCTGGGCTGACTTAACTTTTTCTGATAATACAATTTTAGCCTTTACCTATACTACCTTAAATTTTTCATTCTGGGTTTTATTTTATTTTTTTTAATTCCTCATTGGAGATAGCAATGAGCCATTCATGATTTTGTTACATTGGTGATTGTCCTGCAAAACCATGACTAAGTGTCTCCTAGTCTTAGAAGGAACTTGGAGGAGGAGAAGGAAATGCTCCAGATTTTTCTTTGTAACCTTGTTTCTTATGTCTTTGATGTCAGATGGGCTCCTTTAAGCCGGGAGGCCGAGTGATCCTGGCCACAGAGAATGATTACTGTAAGCTCTGTGATGCCTCCTTTAGTTCTCCAGCTGTGGCTCAGGCTCACTATCAAGGGAAGAATCATGCCAAGAGACTGCGGCTGGCGGAAGCTCAGAGTAACTCATTCTCGTAGGTATTGCCGTTTTCTCTGAGGCCGAAGTGTTGTGTGAGACTGAGTGTCTGAAGAGAGAAAGAGTTGAAATGGATCCCTGTTTAGAAGTCTCACTCTTTCAAAATTTCTTTTCTTCAGGGAATCCTCAGAGGCCGGTCAACGGCGGGCCCGGAAAGAAGGGAATGAATATAAAATGATGCCTAATAGGAGAAATATGTATACAGTACAGAATAATACAGGTATCCAGTGAATTTCCACATACCTTGGCTACTGCTGCAAATGGTCTCCTTTATTTTTACTTCTCTTAATGGTAATAGATAGCCCTGAGAATTTGGGGTAAGCTGCTTTGTTTGAATTGATCTAGTGGCTTTTCAAGCTGGTGTTTATTTCAGGTCTCAATTATTTATTTATTTTCTATTTAGTATATTACTTATTTTATACTATAGTTTATGTTTTAAGATGTTTTATTATGGTTCCTTTATGTTTCTTCTGGTATTTTCCAGCTGAGGAATGTAAAATCCCTTATAAAAATGAGCTTTTTGGTTTATGGTTGCACTGTGCTAAATCCATATATATTGAGGAAAATTAAAAGCATTATAGCAGTGGTGCTTAACCAGGGCAGTGAATTAGAATTGCCCTGGGGAGTTGTTATAAAATACACATGCTTGAACCAGGACTCAGAGATTTTCAGTCAGTACATTTGGAGTAGGACCCAGACATACATGTACTTTGAAAATGCTTCCTACGTATACACCTTCAGTTCAGAACAACTAGTTTATAGGGATGATTATCTTGAGGAGGGAAAGTAGGACTGAGTAGTCCCTCATCCTCCCTCTGCTCTGGTCTCAATGCGTACACATAGCAGCGTAGGCTATTCATGTGAATAGTAAAACAAACAACAAATGAAAACAGTTAATTGGAAAGGTAAGAGAAGCATAGAAAATAGGGACAGATAGAAACAAAAATGTAATATAGTTGTAAAAAGCCTAAACATATATCAGTAATTGTAATAAGTGTAAATTTACTAAATTCTCAGTTAAAACCCAGAGGTTATAAAATTAGATTAAAAATGAGCTAAAATGAAGGAAGCTGAGATAGCAATATTAAAGTTAGATGAAATAAACTTTAGATCAGAAGGTAGTTTAGACTATGTTCTCTGACCGGAGAACAAGTGAGATGTCAGTAAAAAAAATATTTTTAAAAATCACACAGAATTTCCAGTTGTTTGGAAATTTAAAAACACTTCTAAATAACTCATAGGCCAAAGAAGAAATTATATAGAGTATTAAAAATATTAGAACCAAACATCAATAAAAATATATTAAATTTGTAGAATGAAGTGAAAGCAATATTTTGAGAAAAGCCTCAACTATTTATTATAGTAGAAAAGGAAAGCATAAAATTAATAAGTTATTGGTCCAACTTAAGGAGTCAGTTATGTAAAAAGAATAAAAGAAAATGATTAATAATTCCGCCAACATTTTTACATATGTCATTCCACTCTTTCTACATAATACTTTTTTAAAATAGAAATGTGATTATATTTTGTGATATTCTTATTTCACGTAATAGCATATTATAATCACACTAGAGGCCCTGTGCATGAAATTTGTGCACTGGGGGGGGGGGGGGTCGGGTCCCTCAGTCCAGCCTGCACCCTCTCCAATCTGGGACGTCCCTCTCACAATCTGGGACTGCTGGCTCCCAACTGCTTGCCTGCCTGATTGCCCCTAACTGATTCTGCCTGCCAGCCTGATCACCCCCTAACCACACCCCTGCCAGCCTGGTCGACGCCTAGCTGCTCCCCTGCCAGTCCGATCGCCCTCATTTGCCCTCCCCTGCAGGCCCAGTATCCCCCAACTGCCTTCCCCTGCAGGCCTGGTCCCCTCCAACTGCCCTCCATGCAGGCCTGGTTGCCCCCAACTGCCCTTTCCTGCAGGCCTGGTCGCCCCAAACTGCCCTCTGCTGCCAGCCTGGTTACCCCAACTGCCCTTCCCCTGCAGGCCTAGTCGCCCCAACTCCCCTCCCTTCCTTGCAGGCCTGGTCGCCCCCAACTGCCCTCCCTCCACTGTAGGCCTGTTCACCCCCAACTGCCCTCCCTTGCAGGTCTGGTCCCTCCCAACTGCCCTCCCTACCCTGCAGGCCCGGTCGCCCCTAACTGCGCTCCCCTGCCGGCCATCTTGTGGTGGTCATCTTATGACCACATGGGGGTGGCCATCTTGTGTGAGGTCATGATGGTCAATTTGCATATTACCTCTTAATTATATAGGATTTTCATGTAACTAAAATATTTTTATTACTTTTGGTGACAGCATGGTTTTCCATTGCAGTTTTTTTTTTTTTTTTTTTTAATATATTTTATTGATTTTTTACAGAGAGAAAGGGAGAGAGGTAGAGAGCTAGAAACATCGATGAGAGAGAAACATCGATCAGCTGCCTCCTGCACATCTCCTACTGGGGATGTGCCCGCAACCCAGGTACATGCCCTTGACCGGAATCGAACCTGGGACCCCTCAGTCCGCAGGCCGACGCTCTATCCACCGAGCCAAACCGGTTTCGGCCCATTGCAGTTTTTACCGTAATTTTTTAAATTGTATTTTTGGAACTCTTCTTTTCTCACATCCTTCCAAAAAAGCTTTTTATAAATACTGATGAAATAAATATCCTCACTGATAAATCTTTACGCAAGAATTCTTAATATTTTCTTAGGATAATCCTTAGAAATAGAATTTTTGGATTAAAGTGTTGGCATAATTATTAAACCATGTAATGCTGGGAAATTAAATCACTTTAAAAACTGTACCTACTGTTTAGAGACATGGTCATTTAGAATTTGGGTTTGGCTCTACAGTAACCTTTTTGACAAGAGTTGGAAGAGTCATATTAGCTTTTAGATGAACCTGTATAAAATTGTAATTTAAAAAATCCATTACCTTCACATTTATTTAAAGCTAGGAATCTGTGAATTTTATAATGACTAAAACATACAAATTATAGTGATGATTGATCAGACTGTTGTCATTCACTTAGTGACTATTTTGAAGTGAACAAATTACTTTCGCCTCTTGCTTTGGCAGGTCCGTACTTCAATCGCCGCTCTCGGCAGAGAATTCCGCGCGATCTGGCCATGTGCGTTACTCCAAGTGGCCAGTTTTACTGCTCGATGTGCAATGTTGGGGCTGGCGAAGAGGTGGAATTCCGGCATCATTTAGAGAGCAAGCAGCATAAAAGCAAGGTGTCTGAACAGCGGTACAGGAATGAGATGGAGAATCTGGGCTATGTATAGGGATCGTTGTGTTCAGATAGAGCAGCTCGTCCTGCCTGTTATTTGCCTTCTGTCAACATGCCCTGCTTTGTGGTCCTTTTGATATAAGTACATTCCTCTGCTTAATGTTAATACATGTAACTGCAGTGGTACCGTGAGATGTCAACATTGGGGAAGGACAAGAGCGTGCTTCTTAGGTCATGATGCTTTTTCAGGTCAGCTGTGTTGAGTTACTTAGAGCATGTGACCTCCCTACCCCATGAAAAATAAATTTTTATCTTGACCAAGTTCTGGTCAGTAAGAAGCCTGACCACTTAGAGCTTTAACTATTTAAAAATCTCATCTTCTTTTGCAATTTTGTGTACTGTTAAGGATTTTATTGAGTTCTTCAGATCACAGTAAAAACAGGTAAGCAGAGATTTCACTTTCCCAAGGCTCCTTTGGAACCTCACCTCAACTCAATATCTTGTCGGTAGGACATACTATTATAAACTGCATTAGGGTCTTTCCCAGGACATTTTTCCTCTTATCATGTCTTCCCATGATTGAGATGAAGGTTTTCTTGGATTCAGACACCTCCGATGTCCTTGTGTACTTCCAAACAGTGTAACTTCATTTCCAGTTATGGATTTCACATGTTTAAATGCTACCTTTCCCCATCCTCGCCACCCCGGTTGAATTAGCTTGTCCCATAAGGTCATTTTCATGCCCCATCTATGTTGTGGGATTTCCAAGCCCCACATTTGAATATCCAATGAATTTAAGATAGATACGATATTTTTTTAAAAAAATATTTTTCAGCTGGTTTTAGGAAATGTAAAGATGGGTTTAATTTTTCAATTTAGAGTTACTTAGTTGATAATAACTTGTTACTTATATGATGGCCTCAGTCATAAATTTAGATCTCTGGGTATTTGGTTTGGCAGACTTTGTAGATACACTGATCCTTATATTTTACTTACATTCATCTGTGTGTTGTTAGTTGGCTGTCCTGAAAAATACTGTTTCATAGAGAGGAATTTTTAAAAAGTTGATTCAATTTCATTATCATTTCAAGTATAAAAATACATGAACTTTGATTTCATTCTTTCTAATTCAGCTTCCTTGAAAATAGTAGAAATACATTATAGATTACTTGTTATCTGATAATTACAGCAGTATTACTAGTTTTGTATTTTTTTTTAAAGCTCTAGTGTATGTCTAGATTAAGTCATGGAGTACTCTATGAACTTTCATTAACTGTATTTTACCTACTTACTGTATTTACATGGATAAGGCTGGTGCTCATCCATACTTCTTTTGAAAGGCCACAAAGAAGTTTATGTTGAGCAGTATTTTTGCATTATGGTCAATTCATACTTGATTGCTTATTAAAAAATACCAAACTCCCGTTTTCCTTTGAGAATTCTATATGCAAAGAGATGGGGAGAAGGAAAATTATGACAGTTCCTTTCTTTAATACTTCTAAACAACGTTGAATGCTCTAGACTAGCCGTGGGCAAACTACGGCCCGCGGGCCGGATCCGGCCCATTTGAAATGAATAAAACTAAAAAAAAAAAAAAGACCGTACCCTTTTATGTAATGATGTTTACTTTGAATTTATATTAGTTCACACAAACACTCCATCCATGCTTTTGTTCCGGCCCTCCGGTCCAGTTTAAGAACCCATTGTGGCCCTCGAGTCAAAAAGTTTGCCCACCCCTGCTCTAGACTCATGTTTAAAATTCAGTTTCGCCATTAACTTCTGGTACAGTATCAAGTCACTCTTCTGTTGGAGTGATGGTTTTTGAAAAGTAAAATTATTTAATAATATTTTTCTCTCCCAGAAACAGAAGAATAATATTCAGTTGAGATTCTCTTTAGAGCGGTGACTCTTAGCAAAATAATCCTTTGTGCAGTAATTTATAAAATACAGTTGATGAGTTTAGGGCAATTTAGAATTTATTTTATTGGTCAGTACGTTATTCATTTTGCTGCTAAGTATAATTTTTTGGTAGATTTTAATATTACAGTGCTGGCCACTTGGTTCTATGATTATTTAAAAATCCCATTTTCCCTTCTCTCTGTATGTGTATTTATATACATACAGACACATGTATAAAATTATAGGTATATGCTTTTATGTGTTACCACAGAGAAGATTTCATTGAATTCTTATTTCAGATAATAGTAAAAGATTGTGGATAAGAATTTGCATTTTGTAAAAGTGACATTCATCCACTTTCAGTTTTTCCTTTGCAAATAAAATTAAAGGAAGGGTTTTCCTCACTCTCCCCACCTAATAATTTCATTATATATACAAAAACCAGTGGATTTAAGGCCTTGATGTGTTTTCCTGGCCTTTCGTGTTCAGGTTGCCAGTCTCCCAGTGCCCTTAATGGATGTTAGGAATGCATAAACGCATTTTCTTTGAAAGAAAAAAGATCTATAGTGTTATTTCTTACTTGCTATATTTCTTTGCACTAAAAAAGAGCTATGTGTTTGTTTTATATGAACACTTTAGATACCATATTGCCTACAATAACTTGGTTTGCTCCTTAATTTCTAAACTCTAGGAAGTTGGTAAATAACTTCCGTGATCATTTATAGAAGTTACATACACATCCCCCTAAAAAGCCCCTACACATCTCTGTGACAGTGGGTTGGGCTCGATACCTTGCAATGGTCTGTGTTCCATAGGTGAGACAAAGGGTGAGGCTGTCAGAAAGGAAATGCCTGAATAAAAACATTTCTGCATGGTGCAGTTTCTCATATCCACGCATCCCTCATAGACAGTGTTTTCCCTGTCGGAAAGCTTGTTGTGACTACTGCAGTCCGTGACTTGTGATCTCTGTTGATTTCATTTGTGAAGTCCAGTCTTGCTCTGTAACGTGCTTGAGCCTTTGCACCCTGTGTTCCCCAGGAATCATGTTAGTGTCTTTTATATGCTGTGTACAAGGACAGACTGAGGCCCAACTGACGGAACATCTGGAGTCAATTAAATTAAATAGATTTCAGTAATCACCTGCAAGAACTCATGGCATCCAAATCTATCTTCTCTGTGAATATCTTTGTGTAAGTTGTCATTGTGAGAAGATGACAGAGACTCTGCTAACATATTGAGGGCAAGAAGTTGTAAAGGAAAAATTCCATGTCCCAATTAAAAGATTGGATTGCATATGCCTTCGAAGTGTTGTTTTTTCCCCCCCAAAAAAGTGAAGCTATAAAACTGAGCGTGCCATGTACTCCTTTTGACTCCACATTGAACAGAAAATACGTTATTGGTCTTGTCTTTGTATATCACATACTGCAACTTGTAAATATGTGCATGTTGTTTATTACATTTGTCTGCCTGCCTCCTCTTGCACTGAATTCTCTAAGTGAATACTTTTTGTATACCACTCATTTTGAAAAAGTCCCTCCTCCAATTCCTCACTCTCTCCCCTTCTAATGAGATGGTACACGTAGAAAACCAATTCGGTTTCTGAACTCTGAGAGTGAGTGAAGAATCGTGGCTGAGGTCATCCTTATGTCCCTCTGACTTGAACAGCTAAAGGAAGCATGAGATCTTCCACCTTATTTTGCAGAGCTGTTCTATGGCTGGCACACTTGCTGTAGTTACCCAGCTACACTTTGAACAGAGATCAAATATATATATATATATATATAATCTTCCTCTGAAGATAGAGTTTAAGGATTAGCTGTGGGATTTATGATTCCAAATTGGCTGGAACGATGAGCAACGGACAGTTTGAGGACTGTCCAGTGACCTATACAAAGATTTTTTTTTTTTTTTAGCACCAGCCAAATCACTGTTATGGAGTTTCATACATAATAGTGTTTTGTTGTTGCTTTTATTTTTGGCGGTGGATCCCTACTATTGGGAGTTATCGGTCTAACAAAATGGACAAATATCTGTGTAAATAGCTTCCCATATATTTGTTCTGATAGCTCTTTTGACTTTTTCTTCCCATTTTGAATGGGAGGATCATTGGAAACCCCCTTTTTGGGTAGCCACCAAAACAACAACAAAATACTGGCTTATAGTCCCATGTGACCCTGTTTTTGTTAAGCCCAGAATATGAGTGCCTTTAGCAAGTTTTAGCATTTCACAGAGAGAAGAGATGTTATAATTATTGTCATTAATCACAGTTCATTACACAGAAGCTTAGAAAGGCAAAGGTCTGTGTGAATTCTATGTTCTACACCTTTTTTCCCCCCCTCTTAATGCTGTCTCAATTTGATATTGAATAAAAGTATTATTAGTGTTGATCAGGAACCATACACCATGAAAATGAATTCAGCTGTCTAGACTGGCAACAGTCACAGATTATTTTTCACCTTTATCTGTGTTACATTTATATTTAGTGAAGGGTGGTGTGGTGGGTTGGGAAGAGCTTGTGTCTTGTGTAGAGAGAAGAGAATTATGTATTACAAATAAGTGAGGGAAGAGATTGTCATGCTCAGTAGGTATTAAGTATGTTACTTTGTCTCTATGTTAAAAAAAAGCATCTTCCCAAATCAGGTCTGAGGACTCTTAAAGCGAAAATTTTCCTACTTCAGATAACTTTTAAAATTCCAAATTGCTGAGTACTTTGAGTCTTTGAAACGTACTACTAAATTTATTGTAGAAATTTAACATTTTATTATGAAAATTTTCAAACACATCAAAAATTTTTTACAATACACCCACCCCTAGATTCTACAATCAATATTTTACTATATTTGTATTACCACATAGCTATCCAATCCTCTATTCACCCACCATTCCATAGTTTATTTTAAATATACATTTCAATGTAAATTTCAGACAATACATTTTCCTTAAACACTTTAGCATAGGTGTCGTTAACTAGAATTTAATATTTGTTTAAATATCAATAGCTTTTAAAAAGCAGCATCTCAATGATAAGTTTAGATCATATGTTTCTTGAACTCATGAAATTTATAACCTGAGCCAGTTAACATAGTTTTTCTTGTGTGGACTTTAGCCTTCCAGTTTCTGTTTTTGTATGTGTTTAGAGTGAGGGAAGACAACTTTTAAACTGAAGTTTTCTTGAGTTGGTCATTTTAAATGCTTAGTTGTCATATGTCTTAAAGTTTCATGACAATAATTTCTCCCTTATCCCTGTTGTTATGATGTATGTTGCTGAACTATGCAGCTTCTTTAAAAAATTGTAAGTTGCTGATTGGGGTTTATTAAATCAGCGTATACCTCATTTCAACCTGCTGCTGCTTTTCTCATCTTAATCATGTTTCCTTCACTACTTTCACCTGTTCTACCAGTAAGTATAGAGTCAAACCCATAGATGGTTAGTTGTTTTAAGTAA